CAAGATAGATTTGAGATTAATGGCATGTTGTTTATTCCATTGAACTTGTTCTTCTTGCATCTCAAAGATTTTTTCATTCTGTAACTTGATGCCATCAAGTAATTGGATGATTTCAGGTGGTACTTCTCTTTGCATTACTTTTCATTTTGATTTTAAGATTATCAAATCTTCTTTTCAACTCTATTTATCCAAAAGTTCAACAAAATGAAAGTTATTTTTCTCTCACAGAATCTGAATTTTTAACATGTTTGTCTCACAACCTGCACGGTCAACTTGCATTGGAATTGATTTAGGAACAACAAACTCATGTATGTGTGTTTTTGATAAAACAACACCTCGAATTCTGGAGAATGCTGAAGGAAAACGAACAACACCGTCTTATGTTTCTTTTACACCAACAGGAATATTAGTGGGAGAAGCAGCAAAACGAATGGAAGCATTACATCCAACAACCACTGTTAGTGGAGTTAAGAGAATGATAGGGTGTCAATACAAAAATGTTGAACAACAAAGAAAACCTTACAAAATTGTTGAAGGAAAGAATGGAGAAGGATGGATTTATATCAACGGCAAGACATATTCTCCATCGGAAATATCATCATTTATTCTTAAGAAATTAAAAAAAGATGCAGAAGCTAAACTAGGGAAAAGGGTAGATGAAGCAGTTATCACATGTCCAGCATATTTCAATGATGCACAACGACAAGCTACTAAAGATGCAGGAACACTTGCAGGATTAAAAGTTAAACGAATTATTAATGAACCAACAGCAGCAGCATTAGCATATGGAATAGACACAAGAAAAGAAAATGAAAGAAAGAATATTGCAGTTTATGATCTTGGAGGAGGGACATTTGATATTTCTATTCTTAATATTAATAAGGGGATTTTCCAAGTTAAAGCAACGAATGGAGATACAATGCTTGGAGGAGAAGATTTTGACAAAGCTATTTGTCAATATATTGAGAAAGAATTTGAACGAAAATATAAACGAAATCTTCAAAGAAATAAGAAAGGAATTAGTAGAATTAAAGAAGCAGCAGAGAAAGTAAAATGTGAATTATCATCAAGTGAAGAAAGTGTAATTTCATTACCATATCTTGATAGACAAGATTCACTTGAAATTACAATCAGTAGAAGAAAAATTGAACAATTATGTAAGGGAATTTGTAAAAGAACAGAATATCCTTGTCTTCAATGTATGAAAGATGCAAAATTAAGAAAAAAAGACATTAGTGATGTTGTACTTGTTGGAGGAATGACCAGAATGCCTTTAATTCAAAACACTGTTCAAGAAATCTTTGGAAAAAAACCAAGTAAAAATGTCAATCCAGATGAAGCTGTTGCTATTGGAGCAGCAATTCAAGCAAGTATTATTGAAGGGAAGAAAAAGGATATTATTCTTGTTGATGTTACACCACTAACATTAGGAATTGAAACATATGGAGGTGTGATGACACCATTAATCAATAGAAATACAACAATCCCTACATCAGTTTCAAAGGAATTTACCACATCAATGGATAATCAACAAGAAGTAGATATTAAAGTGTTTCAAGGAGAACGTAGAGTTACAAGAAAGAATAAAAAGTTAGGAGAATTTAAATTGGTTGGAATTCCACCAGCAAAGAAGGGAGTAGCAAAAATTGAAGTTACATTTGACATTGATGTCAATGGAATAGTAAAAGTCTCTGCACTTGACAAAGGAACAGGAAAGAAAACAGGGATTCAAGTCAAAAGTAATGGTGGATTGAATGAAGAAGAAATCAATCGACTAGTTAAGGAAGGGGAAGAACATGCTGCAGAAGACAAGAGAAAAGAGCAATTACTTCTTCACAGACAACGATTAAAAGAAATGATAGAGAGAGCAGAAGACATTCAAAAAGAGTTATTAAAGAAAAAGATTGAAACACGTGAATTAGAAAGAGTTATTAATCAATCCAAAAAGGTTATTACATCAGAAGATGAAAATGAAATTAAAAGATTGATTGAACAATTAGGAGAAGAAACATCAAATTCTTCTGCTAAATTATATAATTAATTAACTTCTATCTTCTTATTATGATTTGTTTTAATTTTCAGTATTATTTATCTTTATTTTCATCTCATTCATCAAATATCAGTTATATTTGTTATTATTATTCAAGTTTTTAGTTATACACTACTTACTTTTTACATGAAATACATGGATTGTTGATGTATTTTTTTAAATAACATCTTTCATATTTATTCTATTCTTTGGTTTTATTTCATTTTCTCTTCTTTCATCTAATTCAATTCATGCGTTTTGCTTATTTCATTGTTGATATATACACAGCTATTTAATCTTTTGTTATTGACTTATGCTTGTTTTGTTGTGTCGTTCTCTATAACTCTTTGTTCATATGTTAGAGTTGTTATCTCTTTTTGTCTTTACATGAGTTTTATAGTTTGTATTCTTTTAGAATGAATATTCAATGGTTTTGAGTTTATTTCTGTTTATTCATTATCAATTCATATTACTAATTATCGTAAGTGAATAAACAACACAATGATTAGTTGATTGATTTATACTTTATTTCATATTCTATTTTCACTTATTATTCATAGCATCAATATTTATTATGAAAATAAGCAGTAAAAATTATAGATATTGATATGTTGTGATGAACATCATTATAACATAAATATTTTCTGAAAATGTGTTATAATGTAATGTATGTGGTTGTAATGATAGTGACAAAATGTAGTTGTGAAGATTGTGATGGTATTCTTTATTTTCATGACAAATGCATAACACAGTAGAAAGTTTTGTATGAATTGTGGAGTAGAACTTATAGAATAAGAGTCAATGAAAAAGTAAAAGCTTTTGTTTTGGTAATACATACTTCTGTTTACTTGAAAGTCATGAAAGTATTGAGTAATAGTGTGTAAATACTAATTCATTATGTTTTTATTAAAAGTTGAAGAATATTTGCTGATTTTGTGATGTTTTACAAAGATTAATGAAGTGTTTTGAACAAAAGAATCATATAATTTATTCAGTTCATTCAAATTAGTGTTATGAATTATTTTAATGTAAAACAATAACAAAGATAATGACACACCAATAAAGTTTCATTGTTTCATTCTGTTATCTTTGTTTATTTTCATTAATTTGATTCATTATTATTTTTAATAATGACATATCATTTTGTTGAATGTTGTCTTGATGATATTTATCTGAAATACTAAGAGAATACCAAAGAAAACAAAACTTATTGAATTTAGCTGTAAATACTTTTGAATTATTCAATGAAATTACACCACATTCAAACTTATATAACACTTCTTTTATTCAATAAATTTGAAATTATATTTCTTGTACAAACTATTCTAATAAATTATACATGTTTATAATATGTTTATATGATACTGCCATTTAATTATTATTAACATAAAATACTTTATTCTTTACTCAAAATACCAATTTACATAAATTCATTTATATTCTTATTCATTCTATTCTTTGAATTTTTATATAATACACATTTATGATTAATATTAGTTGATTGTGTGTTTCTTTTTATCATTACATAATTTTTAGTTACTTCTAATACTCTTTTGTTATTTTTTATATCTCTATAACGTTATTAATGTAAATTCAAAGTGATTGAAGATAATTCAATTTGTAATGAAATATTTATTTAGGTATGTTGAATGTGTATTAAATTACTAGTTTTATTCAAGAGAATTTTAACTAAATAATGAAGAATGTACTTTGTGGTAATGTTCAACTCAAATCATTTAATAGTTTCTTGATGTTAAAATTATTATATGAAACAACAAATAATAATAACATCAATTACATTGTTCATTTAATAACATTACTTAATGAGAAACTAAACAATTCAATCATTACTATAATAAATTCAACTCGTAGAATAACTTTCTTAAATGAAATTTACTTTATAGAAATAAGAGAGGTATTAAATTCAAACTGGTAATAATTAAACATGAATAAATAATCAACATTCATAATAAAATAGAAGAGTTAAAAGAAGAATATATTGAAATATAAAAATGGTAGTTGATTCAATTATCTGTTACACTAAAACACATTTTGTATTTTCTTCATTCGATTCTTTTAGTGTTTTAGTAACTGATGTTAATGATGAACATCCTTTAAAACATTCATCTCCTATTATACTAACTGTTGATGGAATAATAATTGATTTTAATGATGAACATCCACAAAAACAATAACTTCCCAATTCATTTACTGTTGTAGGAATGTTAAATGAGCGTAATGAAGTACATCCACTAAAACATTCATCTGTTAATTTAGTGATTGTTGTTGGTATTATAAATTCATTAATATCTCTTTGTTTAATTTCATTTCTGTTAATCTCTTTTATATTTTCTGGTGTTCTAATGCTCAATAAAATTGGTTCATTTAAAAATATTCTATTTCCACTAATAAATTGAATATTTTTTATATTGATGTTCTTCAATAATTTACATCCGTTAAAACATGTCCCTCCTATTTTACTAATTGTTGTCGGTATATTCATACTGGTTAATGACAAACATTCATAAAAACATCCACCTCCTATTTCTTTTATTCCTCTTGGTATATTAATTAAACTTAATGACGTACATCTCTCAAAACACCCATTTCCTAGTTTACTAACTGTCTTTGGAATATTAATTGACTTTAATGTTGAACATCCTCTAAAACAATTGTCTCCTAATGAATGTATTGATGATGGTATAGTAACTGATGTTAATGATAAACATCCATCAAAACAATAATTTTCTATTACATTAACTGATAGTGGAATATTGATTGATTTTAATGATGAACAATAACTAAAACAATAACTTCCTATTTTACTAATTGTTATTGGTATATTCATTGATGTTAATGAGTAACATTCTTTGAAACACTCATCTGTTAATTTAGTGATTGTTGTTGGTATTATAAATTCATTAATATTTCTTCGTATTACTTTTTTCTTGTTTATTTGTTGTATAT